TTCCCATCGGGAAATTGAGTTAACTGAATACAATTGTCAGAGTGTGTCCAGCCCTGTTTCGAAGGGTTAATTCACTCGCCTTTCCTTCCAAGTTCAAGGCAGGGGGATCAGGCTTCCAGTGACTAACCTGATCCAACGAAGCTGGGTCACTGGAAGGGAAGTGGTTGAGGACGCTCAACCATGTACCTGCTGAGTTTTTCACAAGCTGTCACTCCACTCTTTCCTTTTTTGCTGCCATAGTGGTTTTCACGCTACTCCCCACAAACCCATTCTTCCACTGCAGATGTGCAGCCGCGCTGATCATTGAGCAGTCTTGCATAAACATTGTTCAACAATTCAATTGCGCCGACTTTTTCACCTTTCCGTTCCATCACCTTTTTCCTGGAAATTGAGTTAACTGAAAACCAATATCGAAGTGTGAGCCGCTCAGCCGTCCCACGTGGGTGCTGGGTGTGATCCTCCGCAAGGAGGCGCCGTTTGCATGCCGGAAATCGTGTTACTGAATCATCGTTCCTTCATTGACTCTTCCTCACCGCTCCTTCTCCACCCTGAATTCACTGCTCATACAGCCGTCGGGCTTAAAAACGAATTTGCCAGCCGCCGGGCTTAAAAAAGGCTTTTCCCCCCACCCCCCACTTGAGGCAGGTCTCCCGACCCCTCCCCCCACTGCGTTCTACTCCCTACCTAATCAGGGTAACATAGGGAAATGGTACTCGACACACTTGTGTGTCGGTGCCTTTCCCTCTGTTGTCCCTTTTCTAGTCTACTCTACCCTAACTATTGCACTGTAATTCGTCTCGGCTAAGTAGTCAGTAATCCTAGAGTGCTAGGTATTCAAACACACACACGTACACACACATGGACATACACCCCCTCCCTGCCCCCCCTTTTCTTTCTTGCGCTTTCCGTCGTTTGTTGGGCTTTCTCTCAGGCTTTTTAGGTGGCTCTTGAGGCTCGTTTCCCTACCCAAGTCAAGGGCTAAGTATTCACTTTTCTTTTTTCTACACCTATCTTTCTCTCTTGCCCTCTTAGCGCTGCTCTTTCTGTCTTTCTTTCTTTCGTTTCTAAGGCTTTCTTTCGCCAAGCGGCACCGTGTGTGTGTCCAGCTCTGTTTCGAAGGGTTAATTCACTCGCCTTTCCTTCCAAGTTCAAGGCAGGGGGATCAGGCTTCCAGTGACTAACCTGATCCAACGAAGCTGGGTCACTGGAAAGGAAGTGGTTGAGGACGCTCAACCATGTACCTGCTGAGTTTTTCACAAGCTGTCACTCCACTTTCCTTTTTTGCTGCCATAGTGGTTTTCATGCTACTCCCCACAAACCCATTCTTCCACTGCAGATGTGCAGCCGCGCTGATCATTGAGCAGTCTTGCATAAACATTGTTCAACAATTCAATTGCGCCAACTTTTTCACCTTTCCGTTCCATCACCTTTTTCCTGGAAATTGAGTTAACTGAAAACCAATATCGAAGTGTGTCCTCTAACTCCTGTTTTCCAGGGGTCAATTATGATCAAGTGTTCGTTCTTCAAGTCTCATTTTTGGTACGGTTTTCCTTACAGAAGTGACCAACGTAGCGTTAGGGTTGACATCAATCCCAGACACTTCATGTATATACTAGTAGCTACGGCCATGGGTGATTTCTGGGGTCAATGTGAAATGTATGCATATACTCCATACAGTGTTTGGGATAGCATGTTCGCCAGAAATGCCACGACTTGACCCACAACTATCCCGATGCCATTGCATGGGAGATGAAACCATGTTCGGGAGAGAGACCCTGGTGATCCGACGTGCGTTTGAAGTTTAGTATGTTGTTTTGGGATTTTTATCATGCTCATTCATTTTCAGCATCTCAAAGATTCTCAAATTATGTTGATGCTAGCATGGTGTACTTGAGTTTGTTGTAAGGCAGCTAACTGTTTGACCATCTTGGCCATGCTGGTGAAACTGATTTGAGCTGTGAAAAATGCCTTGGTGCTCGTTTGAAGGTCAGTCTGGACCTTGAAAACAAGCACAGCTGGCCACCCTTCTACCGCTGAACGACGCTTCCCCAGGTTTGTGCACCGGAGGTTCGTCCACTCCATGCAGCTAAACGTTGTAACTTGTTACCCTAAGAATCAAGGACCCTCAAAGGTGAAGGTTTGGTTCGGGTCCAACCTGTTGCTTTCTTGGGTCAAAAACCTCCAGAAGTGGTCAGGTCCAACAATGGTTAGGCGGGTCTTAGATTGTTTCCGGTTGATCATGGTTTCCGGTGGCGGTTTGATGGTCGTTTACCACCTCCTGTCTGGTCGTCTCTTTTCTTGCGGATCCAGGAACCCTGAAGATCGGAGGTGGATGAACTTTCGGTCTCCGAACCTCCCCCTCTTTTCAGGACCGAAACCCACAGAGCTAGGCATTTCATACCTTGCTGCAGTCGTGTGCTGTGTGGCGTTGGGTTTGAGCGACCTGTCGTAGAAAAGCTTTGTGTTTTGTTGAGGGTCTCGTTCGGTGGTTTTTGGGACACCCCGAAATGCACCTGTTGGAGGCTGTTGAGAAGACACTGGACACCCCGAGCCGAGCGTTACAAAAACAACGTGTTTTATAGGTAAGGTATTGTGCTGGGACCCGAGCGTCCTAAACCTACACTGCCCCCCGTCTCATGGTCCTGTCACATGATGACCAAACCTCCTGCTTTCGCTCAAGACAACCAGTTGTGTTTTTTCGGATTGGATGCTGAAACACTAAAAAACACACCACTGCGAGGTGGGTCCATTGGTGTTCGGTGCCCCCCCCGAAGACGAACATGGACCATCAAAAGCAAGTTTACAATCTTCCAGCGGGGAAAGTGTCAGGGTCCACATGAGTTTTCGGAAGGGTATGATGTCCTGATGCTTGCAGGCTCTGTGCTCAGTGTTGCTGAGAAGGTCAGCCTTTGGAAGTCCTCCTTGCAGCTGATGACCGTAGCGAAACGAAATCACCTGGAAGCAAATGTGCCTTGGCACCTCAAAGCAGCGGTCTTTGGAGAGGTACTATGGGATCTGGTACGCTGGAGAGAGCTACTATGTGCCTTCCATTTGAGAGGCAGTTGAGGAGTTTTGTACCCATTAAATGCCCGGCACCAGTGGCACAAGAAGAACCTAGTACTTTTGATCCCTTCACGGCAGATCTCCCTGGGTTTGTCAAAGATTTGTCTCTTGTTCCTTTGTGATCTCAGTGGAATGCACATCAATGCACATCGTTGCGCCAACATGGCAAACTTAGAAGCGGACATCGTGACATGCATCTTGCAGTTTTTGGTGCATCCTATCATTTCAGCACTTGCATGTTTTGACCACTACAGAGTTTGTGTTTGATACTCTTTAGACATTGCCACTTCCGGGTCCTGGGTGACGCTTGTTTTCCCGGCTTAGGTCGTCACTTTCAACGCCCTGCTGAGCTCCTTCCCTTGGTACCAAGCACTCCAGCTCGTCCACAATATGGGACAGTGCCAGGTACAAAGGAGCCTCATCACACGCACCTCGGAAAGCGCGAATTCAGATCAGCACTTGCAGGAGCCTCATGAACCAATGCTGGGATGCCTTATTTTTGAGGCATCCTCAAGCCATCCAACACGCTTTTGCATCCTCAAGCCACAAAGGTTAGATGCTGTTTTTCTTGGAGATTCCCGGGAGTGTGTCTCTTTTGGATTTCACCTTCAACCTTTCGAGTCATCCTTTCATCCAGGTTGGTCCAGGTTGGTTGAATCACATGTGTGTTTTTTTTCTGAAAGAATCTGTGCCCTCAAATGGAGTGAGGGTCCGACCCCTGCCATGGAGGGTTCATGAATTCTTAGGGGGTTCAACTATGAAAAAAACGACTCAGTTGACCGTCCACCTTTGTCAGAACCAAACGGGGAGCGTATGAGGTTTTGGAGCAAGGTTGGGATGTGGCAACTGCATAGATTCAACTGTGAAATGGCTGGCTAAAACGAACGTCTGAAACTCTGACCGAGGACTCTAGCACAACCGGCTAGCGGGTCTTGAGCTTTACTCCCCTGCAGAGGACCAGATGGAACCCCCAAAACCACTGGGTGGTCAAGGAAAAGGGTTGAAACAATTGGTTAATTTCTCGGATTCCATGACAATAGACCGTACGAGTCGCATCTGAAGCTCTTCCGAGTCTGCTGATATGGGGAGGCGCTGCCCTCCCCTCCCGCCCGCCACAAAACCTGCACATAATATCCATATTTCCTGGCCTGGCACTTCTTTTTTGTTTGCAACCGAGCACCTTTGTGGCACTTAATGCCTGCCCTTTGAAGATTGGCATATGTTTTTATGTCGATACGTCAAACCAACGATTTGTTGTTTATTTGTCAAACTATTGTGATATGTGGACAACACATAGTTACACACATATTCTAAGAAGCTGAATGTCTTGAACTTGTGCTGATAGGCTAATTAGAGCAAGGAAAAGAAACAACAAATGAGTGCTGCCGTGTGTGTTGCTGATAGCCATGAGGTTCCAAACATCTCCGAACGTTGCTCGTGTATTGCTAGGGAGAGAACTCTCCCAAGCAACACCTCAGGCTTTCCCAGAGGTATATAAGAAGAACAGATCCTGGTGGGCCCCCCATGGTGCCCCCCCTGATCACTTGAGGCAATGCACTGCTGAGTCACTCAACTGCACCGTGTCGTGCGTTCGAACAAGTTGGAATTCCTGCTTCAACTCCCCAGGAGGGTCAGCAGGGTCTGGGTCTGCCAATTACTCCTTGGGAAAATCAGTTCAGACAGTCCTGTGATCGGATTGCAAATGGTCCTTGGAATGCTGAAGCGCCCGACAAAAATCCAAGACGTGTCATACCCTCAAAGGTGGACGCTTCGTTTCCAGTTATCACAAGAGCATTCAGCAAAACCTTCCTTGACCTGGCAAGAAGAGTCCATTACACAAGTCTTTTTTTGAGAAACTCAGGTGTTATCACATGCAGTGATCCAATGTGTGGAAGTTTGATTGATTGGTGCCATGGATCCTGGGTTCGATGGCAGTTCCGGGCTTGTGTCTTTGGGTTTAACCTCGTTTGGGTTCGATGTATCTGTCAGTGTTGGGGTATGTACTTTCAGGGGCTGCACTCCCTGAAATCATTATGGAAGTGGATGGGCCCGTGGATGACCTCTCCTCTACAAGGAGATGTGCAAAATTCCGCATCCGTGAGGATTTTGAAGGAGTGTAAGCCGCTCGCGGCATCCCGCGTGCATACCGGACACCAGGACCAGACACAACGAGGCGACACCGAGTTCGACCATCGAGTGGGGTGCCATCGAGTGGTCTGGTGGAACACGACGGACTGAAGCGGAAGATCTCTCAGAGCGAAAAAGACAGTTCGTGGTTTCAGCATTTCTCTCACACCAATGGCAAGGGAAGGCTCGGGTACCACATGAAGTACCTCAGATTTGGAGCCAAAGAGATTTATATAGATTTATCATGTGATTTATATAATATAATGTATTATTACTGTATCCTAAAATAGAGGCAGCACCTCGTTGCCCCTGGCCATTGTTCCACCCTTTTTGTTCCACCTTGGGACTTGCACCAATTCAGGTGCTAGACATGAGGCCAGGTCAAGTCCAGCTCCAGGGACGGTTCAACCTTCACAAACCTGCTGAGCACCTGCCTAGGCCGCTTTGAGGTCGAGGGGCGCTGGCCACTGGCGCTGGAGCTGGGGCGGCTGGCACGACGAAGCCGCGAGGTGAGTGATGTGCACCTTGGCGGGAGTTGGTCCCCCAAAGGTGAATCACCTGCAAGACCTGGTTGACACCCCAAGGTGGAAACAGATTACGTATAATAACTTATAACCAGTATTTCAGGGAAAGTGAGCGAGTTAAGAGAGTGGATCCCAGTTACTACAACATGCAAGGGTTCTTTTTCGGACTAGGATCCTTGGTTTTGGTCTTTGGAACCACTGGTTTCCAGCCATGCAGTGGTCACTGGATTCACTGGGTCATTGGTTGGTGGAGCACTGCTTGTAAGACAAAGATCGTCTTTTATGAGGGGCCTTTCTTGTACTGCTGGAGGGACAGGTTATGGAAACACAATATCATCCTGGTATTGCTAAAGGTGATATGTTATTTTCCCTATGGGTGAATCATGGCGAATCCCCTTCTGGGGAGTAGGTGTTATGTTATCTTGGTCCCTCAAGCAAATCCAACTCATCGCTGTGGCTTTTAGATCCTTCGAGGGCTTGCGGATTCCACAACCTGCGCGACCACCACCAACTGCGCCCAGAACGGGCATCACAGGTGAACATTTGCTGGGGCACAGGCTTTTTAGGGCCAGAACAAACAAACAATTCAAGTCGTCGAAAGCTTTCCCTTTCAGGGTCGATTGTGGAATTCATCTTCACTCTCAGGCATGTGGCCTCCCAGTGTTTCCATGTAAATCGTGTCCTCTTCAGGAGCAAAGGAGATACAGAGTCTAATACAGAGTGTGGTTCCGTAGTTGCTTTTTGGTTGATTTATGCCACGCCGTCCTGATTAGTGGCGACAAATTGCCCTCCATGCGTTTATAGAACCAGTTTGAAGACGTCAAGGTGACTGTGGCACCAAAGTTGTCCCACAAGAAGGATAGTCATTGGATTTGCATAGGGAATTGCATGGTGGCTTGACTCATCATATCAATTTGACGGCTTTGGGTCAATGGAGACACACAATCACATCCCGCCCCCATTCGATCAGAATTGGGGCGTCGTCGTACCAGCTCCACACTGGCAGCCGGCTGTTAGCACCGCAGCACACACCCTTGGCAGTTATCCCACCTTAATACAGCTTTTCTCTGCTGCAGTGTATGTTTGTGTCATTTGCAAGCATCTATAGGTTGGGAGTTCCAAAAGGGTGCTTATTGGAGGGCAAGGGTGCCCATTCTCCACTCACTTAAAAGCATTAAAAAGCATTCCTTTGGAATTGCTGGTATCGGTTGGGTTCGGATTCCTCGATTTGTCGAGGATCTCCTTCAACTCCACCATCAGCAGCTGCAACAGTCTTTTGGGTAGAATTGGCTTTGCGGCGTGATCAACGTGCAAGTGTTTCATCAGCACCAACAACGCGAGAAGACCATCCTTCACAGAATTGGTTTAAGGGAACCAAATACAGGAAACCCATCGTTTTGGCGTGAAGTGTCTGAAGTGTCCATTGTTTCCTGCAGATGTTCTTCCCTAACTAGGCCAAAAAATACATTGAATCCTTTGCAACTCCATTTCTGGACCCTCCGAAGCTTTCTTGTTTTTCCGTTGGGTGGACTGTCTGAGATGGATAAGTGGCCATGAGTGTTTGGTGTGCATGGCTTGCAAAATGGCTGATGCGTGATTCTCTTGGAGAACTCCCAACAAAACAGAGTAGTGTGTTGTGTTGTCCCAGATAGGAAATCATCATCGAGGATGGTTCATGCACCTACACAACCAGAGGATAATCTCTACCTATTTAGTGAGTGGGTAACCTCTGCGCTTTTGGTGGCATTGATTTCCCTATTCAAAATGAACAGCGGGAAAAAAGGTCTATATAATATAACCTTTTTGCTTCAGTGGGGCAAGTGAGGGAGTCAGTCTATAGTTTTTGGAATGGTTTTCAGCAGCTGAAGCCCAGTCTGTATACCCCATGCCGGTAGTTCATACCCGAAAACCCAGTGAATAGAAGTCAGGCCTTCACATCCAACAGTCAACTCCTTCCACGGCACAGTGCCTCCTTCCAGCGGTACTCCAGGGCATGCCGAGTGGCAGCGGGCTGTGGAACTCCTTCAACGCCTCGAAGGGTCCTTCCTTGAGCCCAACGCCACTCGGGCTGATCTTGAAGATGCCTACCTTGGCCTACCCAGCCCTAGGGATCCAAATACCCTCTCAGAAGGTACTTGGACCATCTTGGACCCTGCAAAAAACCTAAGCTACATAACAGTGTCTCCAATCACCGTACCTGAGAAGAAGGTATAGACTGGAGGGCAGGAGTGTGAACCACCTTCAGGTCACCTTTTGGGGGGGAATTGGGAACTCCTTGACAGAAGCTTTTTTGCTTTGGTCGCTTGGGGAAGAAGTTCTCGGAGTGACCCAGCCAGGAAGCAAGGGATGGCCTTGCGGGCCGGCAAGAGTCAGACGAGTTAAGATGTCCTTTCCTTCCAATCTGGCCTTGGCTGTCATTCCTCCCAGACCGATCCTGAGGGGTCTGAGTCGGACCGTACGAACTGCCGGACCCATCCGGACCCCCCTCGCGAACATAACGTGTTTGTAACAGGACGTGAGAGTTAGCTTGTTCAATGGATCCACATATAATTTTCCCAAGAAGAGGTGGCTCATGGTGGCACCTTGGACAAAAAGTCTGCTCCACCTGCTTAGCAGGGTGTTTCAACCCAATCCTCAGGTGATTTCCTTCACCTCTGCCCTGGCCAGCCACGAGCGACTTGTTGGAGTCGGAACCTGTTTTCGAAGACATGCCATGAAGTACCAAGACCTTGATTTTTGTTCGTTGATTTCCGAGTAGATGGTACTGGGCTCCCAAGATGTCTTCTAGATCCACCGACCTTGAGGATTGTGCCATCCACTCTCGACTTACATGTATTTCAGATATGACAACTCATGGAAAAACATCGGCAATGTTAGCCACAAGAAACCTGCAACATGACTTGTCCCAACTTGTCCCCATCCATGTAGCATACCCATCCATCCGGGTTTGGGGTCCCGGGACTCGAAGCTATCTCGAAGTCCGGGGCCTGCGACGTCGGAATTCTAGGCTTCATACGGGGGCGTTCTTCAAGGGTTGGCCGAAAGACCGACCTGTTAAGGGCCCAACGAAGAGACCTGGCAGTTTTCAGAATTCTGAAAAAGGAAGGTGTAGAAGGGATGGCTTTGGAAGCTCATGGAAGACCATCTCAAGGTGTGTGTGTGTGTGTTGGAGACCTCCTAGGGAGACCTCCCAGGTCGACCCTGGAGGGTTGGAGCTTCGACCCTCAAAGGGTCGGAGGCTTTATTTAGTCCCCAGCTGCCGCTCCTTCCGTCAGGGTCGTGCAGTGGCCCAGTGCGCTGCTCCTGCTGCCCGAAGTGCCCCCCCGGGGCGCCGTCCGGTTGGTTTGCGCGTTTTACCTCGTGTTGAATCACGGGGAAAAAGGTGGGGGCCACATGGAACAGGAACAATAATCAAGTTAAAGCATCCAATCTGTATGTATGCATCATGGATATATACATATATAGTTAATGATATGTTTGTCCACCCACAGATCGCCAACTATAACATGCGAAAAAAAAAAAAAAAAACAAAAAAAAAACACACACTTATGAACACGTTGTGTCCTGGTTCCTCCCTTTGGGACCGAAGAACCGTTTGTCCGCGCCGGCCTGTGGACGGTTCAAGTGACCAGGGACCGCTCGCCGGGCCCGGTATGCGAAGAGAACCATGAGCATACTGCCTACACTAGCATACCATGAGCATACCATGTACACGGCCCGGTATACTGCGGTGTTTATCCGTGTTTTGTTTTAAAATGGTCTTGAAAATAAGGAGCCCTTTCGCATAAGAACTGCCATCAATGCGTCTTCCCAAGCGTCCGGAAAAACCTGGCCATCAGTTCATGTTGCGTTACTGCACCTGTGGCCGGGATGTATCAATCTTCCCAGTTGCCGCTTAGTGAAGATAAAGTCAATCCTGTAGCTAAGGGGTTCCACCCATAATGTTTCTGTTGGTTGCGCGTGGGGTTCAAAAGCCTTTAAGGATGGATTTCAATTGACTTCACCAGCGCCCCAGACTCTGCCGCAGGTGCAAAGGCGCAGTGTTGCAAATATGATCTTCTACAACGCTGCCCTGAGCGTCACTGCGGAACGATGGGACCAGGTGGGGGTCGGTGGCCGGAACTTGTGTGGAGTTGAGCACCAGAAGTTGTTGATTGCTGCGTCACACACACACAAAGTTTAGTCGCTTGAAAAAGCAACTCCCCCCTCCAACCCTAAGCTCAGAAGCTTTTCCGGACAAAGACGAGTTAGGCACAAGTGTTTGCGGTTTTAGGGATTGCAAGGATCAACCCTGGATCTCATGGTGACTAGATCCATGGCGCGGGTCGGTGGGGACTAGCTCCACGTCTGATGAAATCGCCTTCAGGCGCTCAGACTCTTCTTCCAGCAGAAGCTCCACGAACCCGTCGAAAGGAGCTGCGAACCCGACGAAGGGCGTGGGAAAAGTAATGAAGGGGGTGGCTCCGGTGGACTATGGGCTCCAAAAACGGTCGCAGAAATGGCTCCAGCTTGGCTTTTTCTCGGGGCTCGGTTTCAGGAGTTCAACCCTTTGAGGAGGTGCTTGGCATCAGGACACTCCCTCCAACCATCATGGGCCAACGTGTGCCCCGAGTTCGGATGACATGTCCATCGAAGTGTTCAGGGAGTGTAGGGTTTTGGATTTCTCTCTTCATGTAACCATGTCTCGGGTACTTTGATGGACCAATGAGTTCTCGTATTCATGAGATGGGCATTGGCCGGCCTACTTCCCACTTCCATGAGATGTCAACCTACTATGATGACATATAATTACCCCATTCTAGATAGAAAGTTGATGAAACTTTATCTGTATATAAATATTATTAATTCTTTTGACATCTTTCTTTGACCTCTCTCAGTGTCATCGAGCTTTCACCTTTTCAAAGGAGTGTCGACTTGACCAGCTTCAACATGGCCATCTTGGCCTGCGAGAAAGCCAGCCGATGGGAAGAAGCCTTGAGCCTGCTGAAGCTTGGTTTTGTTGATGTCCGTTGAGTTGATTTCCCCCGTTGAGGGTGAATTCCCGCTTTTTGAAGATACTTTTTGTTTCGACACGTTCCGAGTTCCCGGGAGCCGCACAGCACAAGCATCAGGACGCTTTGTGCCCACCGGGGCTTGCCACATGGTATGAGATGGGCGGGGGAGATGGGGACGCTCCCAGAGGAGAGCGTCGTTCAGCGGTCTGGGGCCGTGCGTCATGAGAGTCCAGATCGAGTGGCCCGGTCCGTTCGCAGTGGCCTCCTCCCATCATGGTGCTTCATGATGGCCCGTGTTTCACCAGAGGCGCCTTTTCGTTGGAGAAGTTCGGTGTGGAGCGTTCGTGCTTGAGAAATTGAATGAGCCGGTTCGCAGGAGTCGAATGTTTGTCCCATGCTCGAAAACCTTGGGATTCTGTGTTGTAAACCCTGGAGAATCACAACTACATTCACTGGTTGGAGCCAGCAGAAAGGCTGAAACTGATTGAACAACCTCTGTGATCCAGACTTTTGCGGTCCCGTGGTGGGCCCCCAAGGGCACGAAGTCGAGGATTCCAACAAAGGATATCCCAAACAATTCATGGGACTGCCATATATATGCCGCTCTTTTGAGCCCCAAAAACCACCCCAACTGATCGGCATATATGGCATACATGGATATACATGGAGTGTTTGGGATATAGGAGATGGCCGAGGATTTGTCGGACTTTCTCCACCGACGATCATTGTTGTTTCATGGCCTCACGGATGGTCGTATGCCGCCAATTGATGGGTCGCTTGCGGATCCAACGTGTTTTTAAACGTGACCTTGGTCGTGTCCTTTCACCAGATCTGGACCAACTGAGATCGTTTGCGCCGTACATAGCCAGCTGCACTTCCTATGACTAAAGAGGGACCGGAACCCAAACATCGCACGTACAGATGAGCTCCTCCACTGGGGTCAGAGGCGCAGGGGTGTTTGAGGCGAGAAGATGTCATCACTTTCACCAACGCCATCAGCGCCTGTGGGCAAGCCCTTCGCTGGCGCGAAGTGCTGCAGCTCTTGCAGCTCTCCAGTGAGAGGCTGGTGAGCGTGGTGAGAAGTGTACGGACTGCAGCGATTCTGGGGAGGTGACCTGGGGTGGGATGTTGCCACGGAAGACCACAAGTCTGGTCTGGACATGAGCCAAGCAATCTAGGTTTATAAATGATCCTCCTTTGTACTGCCCAAATTAAATCCTGGGGGTCCACTACGCTTGAAATGTCAAAATCGAAAACATGTTTTCAGGGCATATAGGATCTGCACACCCAGGAGATAAATCCTCACTTGGCCACTTGGCCTCTAAGTTGGAGAGGGGTGGGGGGGTGGGGGCTATAGGATTGCATTGCATAAACGTTGTTTCTGTGGGCTGGGTCAGCGGACAGGAGTCTGTCGACACCTCCCCAGAGGTGGGATCTTATTCTTCTGGTGTTGGTCATATGAAAACCACTACTGAACGAGGTTGGTCAAAGGCCAGGTGTTCAATGGTTTTCTTTGTTTTGGTGCCTCTATAGGCACAACGACTTCTATAGGCCTAAAGTTCTAAAGTCGACCCATAACCCTTTGGTCGGGTCTTCTCGCCTGATAACCCACTCTGATCCACTGCCACCTTCTCAGGTATGTACTGGACTCTCCTTGGCCTAACGTGTCTAAACATCACTTTCTCAGAGGGACTCGATCCGTTGACCCCGCTGCATGGCTCCTGCAGGTCGGTACGGTGCAACCTCCTGAGCTGCTTGGATCAGGTGATGGACATCTCATCTCCCTCTCAGTTGCTCATCCCCAACACCTGGGGAAGAGATGGACATCTCTTGACGTTCCAAAGTCATCCAAGGCTATGCCATGTGCTCCGAAGCCTTGGCTTCGACCCCACGGCGCCCGAAGCCTTCGCTCCGCTGGGCCTTGGGCCGCTTGGAGGACGCGGGGCGCGCGGAATCAAAGCCATACCCAGACCATCCATGTAGGGCATATTTGCTATCAAAGCCATACCCAGCAATCATTGTAAATATGCCATACATGGATGCTCTGCGATATGTTTGGTTTGCAACACCTCGGAGTTTTGTTTGATCAAGAGTCAAGAGTCTAAATTAAGTTGGATCCCATTCCACTAGGAGTCCCTCTTTGTTTTTGGGAAGATTTGTCGATTCGCAAGTGGCACAGCGTTCGTTGTCAGGAGTCTCTTGCCAGCATCCTCCTAGCATCTTCAAGGATCTCGCAGAAGACCTGAGCAGAATCATGCAGAACTGCCTGCGCAAATATGCGTCAGCCTATAACATTGTTTGGAACAGGGCTCGCGTGTACAGAGGCTTTGTTTTCTTCTTAGCACGCCCTGTTGTACAGGTCTGTTTTGCAGAATGAACACATGCCAGATTTGTGAAGGACTTTGCTTCATGACGTTTTTGTGGAGGGAACCACCATGTGGGTCAAATCCAGCGGTCAAAAACTGTTCTGCGGCTGAGTTTCTTGCAGCATACATGATTGCAGAAGGTGCACAGCATGTGTGTGTGTGGATGCGGGATGGGTTCGTCAATTATTTGGCATGTTCAAAATGCCCAAGCCCCACGCCTGTGAAGCTTCATTCAACATGCTGTTCCATGTTGTTCCATCATGTTGTGCATTTTGAGCTTCAGCAATTACTTGTCACATGCTGAGCCATACCAGTATACTCACTGCTCGGTTTGTGATTCCGCTTTGTGGCAATGCACTATCCGCACTGCAACGTACTTTCACGGATCCACAGAAGTGCCAACCTCCAAGTGGCACACCATAAAGACCACCATAGGAAAGCCACCAGGATGTGCCTCAAGTGCCATACAGATCTGCACACACTGCCAGGTGTGAAGATAAGATGCCCAGTGAAGATAACATCCACCATATCAAGTTCCACACAGATCTGGATGAAGATCCACCTGCATAGGATTTCGCCACCAGCCGGTGACCAGTACTGACTCACCACGGCCCCTCCACCACGATCCCGTAGTTCATACAGCTCTCGAAAACACCACACACACACACACATCCTTGCCACTGCAGCCGCGGATCCCTGTCTACCACCCACACCATTCCACACCCACATCATTCCTGTCGTTGCTTCTGGTCATTTTCTGTGGTCAACCAGCCGGTCGCCCCGGTTTTGAATGGGTCAAAGACCCCCACAGCCCACGGCCATCGCCCTGCAGCCGCTATTCCACCACCCAGGGCCATCACCCGGCTGAGCGCCTGGCTGCCCCGCCGCTGGGTTCGGCCGCTGCTGCGGCGTCGCCGGGGCCGCCTGCGGCGCACCTCGGCGGCGCGAGGGCTTGTTCACCGGGCGGGGCGGATTGGGGACGGCAGACAGCGGCACAGATCGCAGCTGAACAGGCGAGGTTCCTCTTCCCGAGGCAGTGCTTGGAATTTGAAGGGGCTCATGTCTACAGGAGCCAGTGGACCCCTAGCCCCGCCGACACGTGGGGGTGTGATCGGCATGGAGACGAGATCTCGCGAGTTGTGGAGGTGTTGTGGACCCGGTAGATAAAAAGATGAAACAGGATGAAGCATTATACCTCAAAAGTTGGCAGAATTTAGGAGTCTAAGAGCTTGATGTAGTAATGTAATAATGTAGTATACAGTATACATCAGTATACCCTTTCTATACTTGTAGTCCTCAATGGAGCATACGGGATCCTCCTTGGATAGTCCGAAGGTACAATTGTTTGTTGATGTATCTTAAGCCCATCGCTGGCATCACGACTGGATCTCCAAGGAGCTCTTGAGTGTCGAAGCGCTGTGAGATGAGAAACCGGTCTGATCGCAATCACGGCGCGGTGTGGCTCAACAGCCAATATGTAGGCGAAAGACTGGACAAGTGTTTGTATTAGAATGGGGAGACCAACGTTCTCCCATTTTGCATTGAATTTACATCGACTTGCTTTAATGCTATTCGACGTGTCTCTTCGCCGCAAGAACCATCGAGATTCCTGAACAGTGTTCCTCTCTTTGTCTCTGGGGATTCTGTAATTATTGTTGTTTAAAGATGCATGAGCCATACCTCGCGAAGGCATGAAGGATTTGCTAATGCTGTTCTGGTATGGCGGCGCCCTGACTGCTAAGCGTCATTTTCAGACCGTCTTCTCCGTCTCACGCGCATGCAGACATGAAAAACAATTGTTTTTGAATGTGCCAAGTCTTCAGAAGGTCAAGTGTCATCATAGTTCCCTGAGAGGGTCTATAATGATATCTACAGTATATATATATACTTACGACACATGCCTGTCATATCAAATCATACATCATATCGAGAAGCTGGTTGGGAATGTTGGGAGTGGATGTGGAGGGTCAGTCCGTACCTTCTCAGAAGGTTTGTAGATCCTTAGGGATTGTGCACGAGTGGCAGAAAGGTCAACACGTCATCTTTGATGCTCCCTCCGGTGCTGGTAGATATTAGATGGCTACACTCCCTGGACAAACATGGTTGGGGTGAAGGTGTCGTGAATGTCGGGCGATGTGGTCATCTTCCAGGGGCCGGTGCACGGTGAGTGGGAAAACACCACTTTCGCTGGCATGGGCCAGGTCATCTACATTGCGCCCTTAAAAGCTCTCGCGCGCGAGAGGATGGAGGCGCCAGCTTTTGTTGATGCTGCTTTCTTCGGAGATGCGGAGTGTAGTAAGTTCACAAGTTCACAATCGATTGAGAAGTTAATCTCCAACCATATCCTCAGAGGTCTTTCCTTGACCTTTGAGTCTATCTAGGGACGGAGACCGCGCCAATCCTGGAGAGATTTGAAGACTTTGTGAGATGGGACTTTGACCGTTTTGGAGAATGCAAATTATGCAACTCTTCCAACCTTTCCTGAAATGATAGATGTGGCTGGAATCTCCAAGAACCAGGAGCAAGTGTTTTCCACCACAGCAGCTCAGACTCTTTGCATGAAACATACCGAGACGTCAGACAATCATGCATATTTACCTCCATTGGTTTCAGGAGTCCGTGAACAAATCTCGGCACATTCCAGTCGCATGACATACGTGGCACTCAACCTGTCACCCATGACAGCTGCTTTTCAATGTCATCCTGGGCCATCTGGGGCATCCACCCACACAAGTCGACGTGACCGTGACTGTTCCAGCAAGTGGGTGTGTTTTTGAATTGGGGGGCCCCCCAATCGCCCCAAGGGTTTTGGGATGGTTTTGGTCTATTTCTTCCTCCATCTTCCTCCCTATCTTAATACATATCCACCTGGACCCTCTAAAGTACCTAGAAACTGGGTCAAAAAATAATACTCACTCTTAATGCGAAGACCGGATTAATACACCCTCCCCCCCCCGGGTTGACTAGGGGGGATTTATTAATCCTAACTTTACATTACTATATTTTTAGTACTCATTGTCCGAGGTACGAGTTCCGGGTCGACTCCAGGCCCATCCGTGTTTTGGACGGTTTGCATTTGCCGAGGATTGGGAAGAGCGCTTCCAACGGCGGCCCGGAGCGCCCAGAGACGGAGGAAGCGCTCAGAGACGGAGGAGGGGCACATCAATCGATCATAGGGTAAGGGATTAAGAGAACATCTGCAGGACAACACCCCAGGTTTTGCGGAGTTTCAATCCAGTCCATGGTCTCCTGTAGATGTTTCCCCTTTAAACGATGTTAGAACCCATTCATGTTCATCTCTAGAGGTCCTTCCACCAGTTCTTCCCAGCTACCCAGTCCATGGTCGGCCCTGAGCCTCAGTCTTTCGGCCTCGGACGGCCGAAACCGGTGTCGTCACCCCGACCTCCTCACCCGACTCTGGTGGCCCGGTGGCGATGGAAGACGAGCTTCACCGTTCGCTTTGTGCTCCATGACTTCGGGAAAAGGCACACCCCTTAAAGACAGTATGGTGAGATATGGTGAAGGATCCTGATTAAGATAAACAATATCAGCACCACCTATTTTAGCAATTAACTAATTATGATTCCATAAGTGATTCCATGTATATATATATATATATTGTATTCCTATGATCATCAAATTACTTAACATTGTGGTAACTATTTGCGAGTCGTTCAGTGAAGTGGTGACAGATAAATTCACGTCGTTCTTGGAGTTTCACCAAGGCTGGGAAAGACGGTTGTGGAGTTGACTGGGGACTTCACACCAGATGCCGCTGGGAGGAACCACCACGGCGTTCGGGGAAGCGTTTCACGCGTGTTTTCCACGCGTGGTGTGCGCGCGTGAGAACGGAGGCGACGTGGTTTGGATCCTTTGGAGTTTGGAAGCCCAAAAATGGTGCAGGGGGTAGATTTGGTTCAATCACACTCCCTGAAAGAATGATGGAAAAGCGGTCCCTGGAAGAGTTTTTTTTTTTTCCGACAAACAGGGTGTTTTCCACTTCCATGTGAATGACTCGGAGAGTAGGCCTATTCAGCATGACATAGCCTGATCTCGTCCTACAGAGGTCGGAACCTCCGACCTCGAGGATGGTAGGGCAGCATGGAAACACCAGCTTGAAGCTGTTGCAAAGTATGTGTCCCAGAATTGGTCTAAGGAAAATCTACAGGAAACCCATAGTTTTGGTATAGAAACACGTAGAATCGTAGAAACCATGGTTTCCTGTTCGGCTCGTGCTTAGTTGGGAATGAGGGAATGAGTTTAACAAGCATTTGCAAAGAGCTGTTGAACAATCCACAGTGGTTTACCTAAACTAAACGTCCCTAAAAAGTAAACACATATTTCTGTTCAAGATTTCCAGGAGTTTCAAGCTAGGAGTGTTGAAAAAAAACAAACATGTGTGACCATCACCAGACCATTCGTCCTCGAGCGCGGCGTCATCCGGCTACGGATCGGCTACGGTTCCATGGCTTCAAAGGAACCTATCCCAGACACAACCTGTCTGGGACTGCCACAGGACTGCCGATCAGGCCAGGGGTGGTTGACCTGGCGTCAGTTGATCGGCAGTCCTATGGCAGTCCCATGGAGTGTCTGGGTATATGAACCTATGCTGAGACCGAAGGATTTGTTTTACACGCGATACTTCGCCACGGTGGGAATCCGTCTATAACTCTTCCACCTTCAAAGTGATCTCTTCCGAGTCTCTAAGTGACCTCTTTAGGGACTTATTAGTGACCACCTCAGACACCTTCAAGCTGTCCCATCTACCAAAGATACCGCATGATAAGAAGATGAGAAGGGTTCCTATTCTTCAAAGCGCTCAAGGGGTCAGCCATTGGAGCAAACACAAAATGTCCATCCACTCCGAGTCCACTCCAGGTTTTCTTCCCCAGCCCAGTGACCTGGACTTGAGGTGAATGACCACCCCTTCAACCTCCCACCCCGGCACCCGGGAACCACCCTCGACACCGAGATCGATGCGCTGGAGCGCGCCGATGTGGTGGCCGGGAGCCGGGAGTCAGGTTGGGGCGGGAGTACATGGTCCAAGGATAGACTACCAGGGGCACCCACATGTCCCATCTAAAAAATTAGGTTTTCCCTAGCCAACACTCCCAGACACGACCTGTTTGGGACTGCCATAGGACTGCCGATCAATTGACGTCCAGGGTCAACCGCCCCTGGCTTGATCGGCAGTCCTATGGCAGTTGCCAGACAGGTTGTGTCTGGTTTTGGGCCGGGTCCGCCCGCGAACGGCCCGACGTGGCGGAGCTGAAGCTGTCTGTCCATCCCGGGACCGAGCGGACGAGGGGTGCCACGAGCGAGCGGACAGGTTTTGTTGGTCTCCCGGTGCGGATGAGACCCGGATCCAGGGAGGTACTGACTTGAGGGGAGGTACGACTGGGCACAATGGCGCCGCTCTATAGAGCCTAGTCTCCAATCACCTGAGAAGGTACGACTGGATCTTTAGGGTGAGCATGCTCCCAAATATAGAAGATCGATCATATGACACATCCAAAAAAATCCCAAAGTACATCAAACTACCTCCTGTGAAGGTGGTTGGGGTGGAGTTGGGAGGTCTAACATGCAACAACCTGAGGATGACGGGAAGCCTGTTGGAGCCCAATACCACTTCTATGGGCTTTTGGCTTCGGGGTCCGGTCGGCTCTGCTTGGATACTTCGCCTCATCGCTTTCTGAGACCATCTATCCCTACGTACCTGGACCCCATGAAAGATGGCTGTGGCCCATGGGTTGGTCACTTTGCCAATCCCATTCGTTTGCTTGGGGTTTGAGAGAATGGTCGTTGGGATCACGACAGATTTGGAGGCCTCGAGTCAGGACTAGTGGAAGCTCTTAGATGGAGGGTAGCAGTACGATCTGCTAGCTAGTTTGCTAGCTATGGCATCTATGGAAAGATGTCCAAGAATATTCAAGCACACTGCTCCGTACAAAGCCGAACTCGGAAAATCTTCTTGAAAGCATCAAGTGGCATCAAGCGACTATATCTCAGGAGGCACAACTTACAATCAGAACCTTAAGGAGGCAACTGTTCACAGCAGTCTTCAGACACCGGCCACACTAGCAACTCGAGTCTTCCACGTCACACGAGCGAGCTCCGCTAGCAGTCTTATAGTTTTCGCCACGTCCGTCGCCCCCAACCTGGTCCTCGGAGTCGGAGTCGCGACCTCGGGGCGAAATTGTCGAAGCACTGCGCAGGTCACCACACCCGAGAAGTGGGACGGCATCTCCCGCCATTGGCAGCACCGCGCGTGCCGTTCACACCGTGTCGAACGGGTGGTTGACACCGGTGACACCGGGGACGTCCACCGGGGGAGCGGGTCGGCGGAGTCGGAGTCGTCCGTGGTGTATATCGGAGGAGGTCGGAACGAAGGAGCAGAAAGCGATGGGGAAGGAGGGTGATGGGGAAGGAAGAAGGGAGATGATGTTGAAAAAGGTTAGATCGTGGGATCCTCCAAAGGCTAGAGTTGCGGGAGGACGAATGGAGCATCGAATCTTGGTGGTTGCAAGAATGGAGCCCATTGGTCCGCAGGTGAGGATGCGACCACTGCGGATTGTGTTGGGTTGTATTGGATGATATTGGATGCTTTCATTCACTCAGATTGGAGGCTTGGAGGCCCAGAGTCATGGTCCAGACAGTGACAATACAGAGTATCAAGATCAAGTGTACGGAGCCACCTACCAGGACCCCAAAAGGTGGTTAATGGACACCCCTTAACAGCTAAGGGGTTATAAATATCCAGACTCTCCATGTATGCCATATATGCCTACATTGACCCCCAAAACCAATGTAGGCATATATGGCATACATGGAGTGTCTGGGATAGACACCCGTTGGAGGGTCCTGGTAGATGAAGAAAGCTGTTACCTCACCACAGTTTGATGTAAGCCCCACTTCCAATCTTCATGTTTGCAATTTGGTCGAGGAAACCTTGTTTCTCATTCAAATGGATTGTAAGAATGAAGGAATGAAGGGAAGGTACACTCCCTGAAGTCATCATGGGCCAACCTGGAGATAGAACCACCTGTTTGGTCCTCGGATCACTCAGAGTCATCTTCCAGTCTTCTTCGGGCCATGGCCATCCACGTGGGCCCATGATTTCAGGGAAAGTAATCAAAGAACTTTTACGCCGTGCATAATTTCATCCCTTGCACTGCCTTGCACCACCTAGCCCTCTGATTGCGGGTCAAAAAGGGTGGTTTTCTAGCCGCACCCTCTTCTCGTGCACTTCCATGAGAAAAAAGAACGGACCCGACTTCAAGTACCTTTAGGCCATGGGACATGATCCGATTAAACAATAAACCAGTATTACTTCAAGCCCCTTTAATCCGACACCACTTCAATCCTCCGCGGGGTGAAGTGTTATTGTCCTTTTTGCGCATTTCAACCCCCCGTAAGGTCGAGAGCATCGTATTTTCCTCGGTGCGACATCTAACACGGCGCCGATCTAACACGTGTGTCACCGTGTAGGATCCACATTCCGTGGACCTTTCTCAAAGTCAACACATTCACAGCACCCGCCGAACATGAAGAAAAACAAACAAACGCATGTTAAAAGCAATTACATCTTCCATGACGTCGGAGAAGGGGGTGACTGGGTCACCAATGGGGGCTTGTCTCCTTGACAGAGAGGTACGTGCGGAAGGTGGGCTTGGTGATCATTGATGAGATCCATCTGCTGGGGCAGGAGCGGTTCCGGGGGAGCAATGGAGAACCCAGACATGGAGCTTTGAAGATTGAACATCATTCAACCACCATATCCCTCAGCCCTCAAGATGTCAACCTTTCCTAGGCATCATCCAAGACTGTTCAGGGCACCGTCCGGAAATTGTTTTTTTTAGCTTTCCTGCTGCTCTACTTGGGCAGCCTTGCTAAGCCAATATTCATGAGCCAAGCAACTCAGATGGTGGGCTACGGTCCATGGTTGAAACATTTGAAACCATAGAGTCGGCCAGTGTATCGGCCATGGGGACCCAGTGATGCCACCAGGTCGAGGTGATGCCAGCTCCAAGCAGTAAGCGGTTGCCGCGCCCTGAAATGCGCAACACTCAAGACACATCAGTTAACAGCCCTGACCGGAGAAGTAACATGGAATTGGATTGTTAGCGGCTTTAGCCATCAGGGGTCAACGATGTTCGGAGTCTGTGGGAGATGGTCCGGACGCGCCATGGACGCGCCAGGACCGTGGGCCTGTCTTGGAAGTCATCGTGCCAGCGTCTCCCAGAACGGCCTGTCTTCACCCGCAGAGACTGAACGGACGAGAAGGCCTGTGTGGAAACTACCTGCAAAAGTACAAAAAGTATCAATAAGCCAGGGTGCTGGACCGTGGACATGTTCTTTTGTTGCCAGCGGACCTCCCCCTCTCTGACTCATTCTCACTCTCTCTTTTTTTCCTCTCTCTCTCTCTACCCTAAGAATCCTTGGTCTCTCCATGGCAGGGGTCGGACCCTTCATAGCAGGGGTCCAGGCCCTCAAAACCATATGTGTTTGAGGGCCCGGATTCTTAGGGTAGATAAATAGATACTCTATAATTTCTAAATACTTGGCGGTGAACAGTTAATTTTTGGACGTCGAAACGCCATCTACTTTGGCTCTGTTTGTTCGCACCTTTTTCCTCAAAGAGTGTCTCCACACTAGGGGTTCTTACTGTAGGGTCCTGCATCCTCCGGCGGCTAAGTCGCTGCTGTTTACAGTGCATTCATTCACCTCAAGATCTTGGAAGTGCATTTCGACTGTGCAGGCTGCAGAATCTGGTGGGTGCGGGCGAGTGCTCTTTTAGAATGCGCTCTCGTTGTGGTGCCGTGCGCATTTTGGGATTTGGTGATCACTTTACGTGGCAGGTGTTTTGGTGGTCCAAAGTCATGTGACAGGTCCAGGAGATCAGAGTGGTTTTATGTCGATGTAACGTTGTGCAGATTTCGTGGCAGGCGCGCTGTTTTGGATATGGTGGTGGTCTTCGGCAGGCGCAGTGATCGAGTTAGACTTTTGGACATGTGGCTCGTTTTCGGAGGAAGTCTCGAGCAAAAGCTGTGTTTGGGCATCTTGATGTTACGTTCTCGTTGGAAGTGCTCTTGCTGCGAGTCGCCTTGGCAGGGCTGCGTGCTGTGAATCTTGATGCGCAGATCTTGTGGAAGGCAGTACTTTGTGGACCTTCAAAGTGTGGATTCATGGCAGGCGCAGGGAATGTGCTCTCATATGTGTACTCAGGCATCTCTCTCCACCTCTAGACCTCTAGAACCTAGACCTTCAATTCTAACCAGACCTGGCTTGTGAACCTCCACCGCCTCCACCACCACCATCACCACCATCACCCCCACCATCACCATCCATTACCATTAACATCACCACCACCACCACCACCACCACGACCACGACCACGACCACGACCACGACCACGACCACACCATCACATCACCACCATCGTCACCACCGCCACCATCATCACCGCCATCATCACGAACGAACGAGAATGGGGAAGGTAGCCCATCAACTAAAGTCGACACCGGGAAGGAACCACATGAACATCCCCACCATGGGCGCCCTGGGCCAGAGCGGATATTGACAACACGATCACTGGATACGTGTGCTTTGCTTTGCACTCCTTAGGCTCCATCCAAGCAGCGGGCCAGGCCACACCCCCAACAAGCTCGCCAGAGCTCCGAGTCCTTATCGGTCACGGGGTGCAGCCGGGCCCGAGCAGAAATGGGCACTTCCTTGTTGGAACCAGTTGGACCGAGACCCCGGACCTCACCCGACATTGAGGCTCGTGGTGACGACGCGAGTCCAAAGTAGGATGCACAACCCCTAACTAACACTGTAGCCACCGGACACAGGCCTTGACACTATCAACACCACCTGCTCCATGGCTGAGCGATACAACACTTCTGAGAAGCACTCGATAGATTCTGAATGAGCAAAAAGTAGATGGCGCAGGACATGCAGCCAAATATGTGAGCTTGCGGCGTCCTTGGGTCTGACTGCATTGCATTTCATTTGACGGAAGGAGCTTGTTACTTGTTGCCACGCGGACGGAAATTGAATTGCAGGCTGCGCTTTCATTTTCCAAGCTTTTGGATTGACCCTCGCTGTGCTGCAACGCAACCATGCAGTGTGAGACATGGGGCCGGGAACTTAGCTGCCGCTGCTGATGGACGTGCGCGCATGGTGGACTGGCAACTCGCACGAGCATCGCAGAAGTTTGACTGGGACTGCATGGGAACGCAAACAAGTCAAGAAATGGGGGGGCGACGCCTGCAAGACCTGCACGCTCGACGCAGGCCCGCCGCCATCGCGTCGCGTTGAAATGAGGGCTGCTGCTGCTTGGTAGCTTGCTGCTGCCATTGGTGCGCTGCTTACCGACAATTTTGTCATCTGCCAGGTTGCCAGACAAGGCCGATACGTGCAGGGCTATGTGGATCCTGCGGGGAGTCTTCTTCCGCCGCCCTCTGACGGCGTCAAAGATTTGACCAGCCAAGTTGACCCCATGAAGTCAGAGTTGCCAAATGCCAGTCCCTGAGCCATGTGTATGCATTGCAGAATCATGCTTGCCTTTTCGGCAATGTAGCTCGTGTGGTTTGATTTGCCGAGGTGCCTGACGGGCAGCTGCTCGCTCTCGCGCTGCACGAGCCGAAGGAGGAGCGCACACCTGACGGGCAGCTGCTCGCTCTCGCGCTGTACGAGCCGAAGGAGGAGCGCACATGACATTGTGAACTCGATGCCTATCATAGCTTTAAAGGTGTTAAGACGTTTCCGTACTGTTTCAAGCGCTTCTTCTAAATAATAACAGCAGCCAGCACCACCACTCTCCGTTTTCAAGCATGGTTAGCCCGTTGCAAGCTGATGCCCAGATGCCGCGGAAGCACCCCAGCGGGCAATTGACAAATTTTGAATTTTGAGCGCAATTTGTCCAATGTAATGCACTTGTTTTCTCAACCTAGAAAATCAAGAACCCCCAAAGCACAGTCTTTGCTCACAACACTAGGCTCTGACCTCTTCCACCTGCAACGGCCCCCCAATACTGTAACTAGTATGATCAGCTGCGAGTCAACGGGAGTGGGGAGCGTCAACAAGTGTGATCCCCAAGAGCACGCACCCTTTCGTGTTTTTGGGACACTTGATTCTGCGGTGTGAGTCAAGTTGTTTCCGAAGCCATGGATTTGCAGGCCCTCTAGGCCTGGCTGACCGGGTTCTCAATGACCCCCTGAGGTCCAAGATCAAAGGGCTGTTCCACGGTCTGCAAGCTTCGTCAGCCTTGCCCCGTTTCGGTGACAGAACTATGTGTGTTGGCAATGTCCTGGACGTTGGACCTGACTGGATTTCGGTTGCTGCTCTTCCTTTCCTGCCAGGTCAGGGATTTGTGATGAGCTGTGATCAGGAACTGCCTTTGATGATCCGCATGCAGGACCCGGCGAAGCGATCAATTTGCCTGTTTGCAGGCGTTCAGGTGGTGTGCACTGGACTACTTTAGAAGCAGCATCAGGAAAAGGAGATTTGGCTCAAGGACGCGACGCTTTCCTTTAGACCGGAACTGAGCTCGAACGCAGTACACCTCTTCTCAGGAGGCTTCTCTGGGTGGAGTCAGGCTTTGGTGTGGCTTTGTGGCCGACATGAAGCTTTGGCTTGTGGACAAGAATTCTTCCTGGATTCCGATGAGCTTATCATGCAATTGTGGTCTTTGAAAAATGCCACTGAGTGGACACCAGCTGGCAAGGTGGGAGTTTGCGGAAGAGTTCATGATTTCACGTTGCTGAACATTGTCCGCACCCAGACCAACCTCATTGTCACGATGAGTCCCCCCTGCCAGTCCTGGAGCAGGGAGGGAAGTCTGCAGGCCTCGGAGATGATAATGGTTTCGCATTTCTTGAAGCACTCCAAATTGCAGCAGCACTGCAACCGACAGTGATTGCAGCAGAGTGCTCAGATGAAATTTTGAAGCACGATCATTTCCCAGTGGTGTTGGCATACGCCAAGCAACTTGGTTTCCTCCTCATTTGGTCACAGGCCACCCAATATCACCAGTTGTCCAATCATGTTTCGCACCCGTTGGCTTGGGGTCTGGACTAGGTTTGATTGTCACGCACGAAACAGCAGGGACAGGTTACCGACTCGTAATGTCAGCGTTATATAGGGGGATGGCCACGATGGCGAGAGCCTGCGCAGCGTGCCTATATTTCAATGTGTTGGAGGTAGAGCTGGAGCGCTTGTCGGACCACCGGGCTTGCTTGGTTGCACCTGTTCCGTGGATCTCCATGCGCAGCTGGCGCAAGACTCTGTACTTGCGATGTTTTCTCATAGTAACTACTGGCTATAAGCATTGTGCTTACATTCTGCGCAGGACCTTGATTCGGAACTGATCGACCGCCTTGCCACTTGATGACATTGGTCATGGAGTCATGCCGGAAACACGCAATCGCCTTGGATTTTTCATAATAATGAGCCCTTCTCTACGGTCAAGCGCCGCATGATTGTTGTGGCTTTATCATCATGCCGCGCGCAACGTGCTGCGGCCGCGCCCACGGCGCACGCGGAAAAAACCCGGGGAAAACTTGCGCGACGACATGGACTGCTTGCATCGCCAAAGCACTCCTCACACCCTACACCCAGTTGCAATATGTTGGGTAAACGGGGAGGTTGCCCGGCAACCAACATTCCAACGATTTCAAAGCAGCATGCGTTTTGCCGTTGTTTTTTTGCGTTTTGGCTAATGACCCTATATTATAGTGACCCCTTCAAACACACGAAGAACCAGAACCGCTGGAGATCCACGCGAAGGTTTTCCGACCCGATAGTCCCAGAAGATGGACGCCACTCACGCAAAAAACACAGAAAGGCGTCACAATCACTGAGGTTAGAGAGAGGACTCATTGGTCCCCCAACTAAAGCAAGCTGCCACCTACCAAAGCTATACATAGCCCTGGTTGAGGTTGGAGAGAGGAGTCATAGATGGTCAAATCACATTGGGCCACGGACGACCTTTGGATTCTGATTCTACCCTTGAGAATCCGCAGGCACCCAAAGGCAGGGGTAGGACCCTCCACAGCAGGGATGTAGACCTAGACATTTACATATATATATATATAGGTATTTCTGATATCTGGACCCAAACCAAACCCTTTCCATTTGGTTCGGGCAAGGATTCTTATGGTAGCAATACCCTCAAAAGCGCTCAGGTCCCGAATGCGCTACATCTCTTGTAACCTGGACAAGGCAAGACCGCTGGCGGGAAGAAAATGGATGGTTTACCTTCCAAGTACTTGACTGGCGATGTATCCTCTACGTCCCCGGTTTGGGGTGGTTAATGGACACCCCTCAATCTCTGAGGGGCCATTATTAGGCACCCCTTGGAGGGCCTGGTAGGTATATGGAACTGGAATTTGTTCATGACCAGTTGTTGGTCATTGGTGACCTCAAACATTGTAAACATACCATGCTGCATAGAGCTTGACACCATCATCTCCAACGGTGATCCTCGTATTCCCACATGGTGACCAATAATTGTTTGTTTCCCAGACCTTCCTTGTATGGAATTTGCATGAACGTACCACATTTGTAAGCCTAACAAATATTTCATTATGTCATGTTTTGGACCTTTTTCCTTCCCTGCATACACGTGTGGATTTTTGTTAAGTGCTACAGTGCTTTGGTTAAGTTAGACCTACGACTCTAATTTCAAAAAGACGCGGGCCCTATTTCACTTTTTGCATTTCGCGCACCCATCTTTAGCCGGTAGCCTACTTACACTTCATTGGCAGGGTTGTAATCCAGCCCAAGTTGGCTGGTTTCCAGCTACACATTGCAGCCACAGAACTGAGCTTTGAAGCTGGCCGGTTGATTGATAGATCGATAGACCTCAAGTGTACAGCCAATGGGCATATGGAATGGTACCACACGGACCCCTCAATTTATGTCAATCAAACATAATTGTTTTGATGTTTCTGAACATCTAGTAACTAAGGGCATTACTACTAGTAGCTAGAAGCTACTAGTAACAAGGGTTGTTAATTTGATGGATAACCGAACTCCCACGTCGTTAGAGCCATTCGACATACCTGTTCGTACCTCGGAACCTTCTTCCCCACTCGTACCCTGTTTGGGTTCGGGTCATGTTTTTTTTGGTCCGTGCCCTAATTGCCAAGGCACTTGAAGTCGGGTCCAGGTATATTTGGATTTTTTTTTCACCTCTTTAGACCTTGGTGCTCCAAACTTAGGGTCCCAGGTACTCAGACACCCCGCGGGCACCGGAACCTTCTGGGCTCGTTCGACTCGTGGGTGAGTTCGCCCGCGAGGCCATTCGCTTCGTGGGACTCAGTACTGTTCGGGCGGCCCAGATGGGACGAGGACAGGTCGCTGGAGAAAACACCAACTAACCCCCTATGGATCCAAGTACCTTCTCAGAAGGTATTTGGACCCTCCAAACCTACATAACAGTGCCTCCAATCACCTTCTCAGAGGGTACTTGGATCCTTAGGGACCGAACTAACAGGGGTCCCGAGAAGTACATCTTGATCTATATATTTCCCAGACTATGCATGCTTCACATAGAATCGAGCCTGAACCCGAACCTCATATCCCTTTTATAGGAAGCGACCCGTCCGTGTGTTCCGTGACACCCGTCGTCTTCCGGAAAGCGATGTCCGGCGAAGGTCTGCCGAACAGGGCGGTTTTGTATGGATGCAAAAGGCTTTTGAAATGGGTCACAGTTGGTCACATTCAGATATTACCAGGTATTGTACCTCCTCCCTCATCGTGAAAGTCTCAAGGTTTTCACATGTTTTCACAGTGTGTTGGCTCCTTTTGGCTTTGAATACCTGTCAACATGAACGATGTCCGGACGAAGGAGCACGTGGCTCCCCGAGGATGGCGGGTGGATGGCCGATCGTCCATCGTCTTCCGCAGGCCTTGGCCAACGCCCATGACATCGCCGACTGGCTGGGCATTGGCATTGCGGCTTGGCATTACGTCATTGGTCCTCAAATAACCGATGGCACGCTTTCCATGACCTGAACATACCTGAACATGGTGGGGATCTATGTAACTTCGATCTACTTGGCAGGTCTTTAATTCAATATACCTTCCAATGCATGGGACTGGCCTATGACTCCCGATCAGTTGAGCTGGGCCAGTGCACTAGTCCGAAGGGGGAGCAAAAACATGACTTCAGATGAACATGCTCATTACTCAGATGTTAATGACGTGTCCAGCATTGTCCAGCTGTTTTCTTGCTTCATCGCTTTGCACAATCTAAACAGCTGAGTTAAGGTCGGTCGGTCTCACTACGAACCCAGTTTGTGTTTGAATACTATGAGTATCTGGGTACATGTAACATGTATGACATATATACACGTATCTATACGTGTGTATATACATATATATACACATATATTGTACTTGTTTATATAGGGTCATGTCCTATTTTCTAAGGTCTTTGAAGCTGGACTCATTTATCCAATTGGCCCCCCCTTCTCTTCTGAGTCTGGACGGATCCCTCTTCCTCAGGTGGGGCTCTACAACTTCAAGCCCTCTGTGAGGCGTGTCCTTGCTCAAGAAACCGCCTTGGGCCGACAGGAAGGCACAGGCTGTACCAATAAGACAAGGACATTGTTGCATGCATTTGATTGGGTTTGAGGAGGTGGCATCTTACCCTAGACATTCCAGTCGTACCTTCTTAGACGGTGATTCGAGACACTGTGACATGTAGGTGCCAGGAGGGTAGAGTCCTACCTTCTGAGGAGGTACGACTGGATCCCTAGGGTTAGCGGTTGATGATTGTTGCATGCCGCCTTGGGAAAGTGGATCTATGACTCCATAAAAAGGGATACATTGGATCTATGTCATAGCATTTGGTACAGGTTTGTGCCATTGTCCGGATTTGACATTGGCCGCCTTGTGCGGTTTGGGGGGAGCAGAAACCCCCCCTCTCTGATGCGACGTTTTCCTCGGCCGCCGTATTTGCAACAAGGGTTTCATGCGACTCGGGTAGCCTGGGCTTAGCCACCGCTGAAAGCAACGATGGCAGCGCCTGCAGCTGCAAGGGGTGAAAGCCCATGTCACAGACTGTCCGGTGGACGGCCGGTTCGTCCCTCAAAAGGGCGCACAGTGGATTCGGACAAAAGGCAGCTGATCTATGATCCCTAAGGATCCAAGTACCCTATGAGAAGGTGATTGGAGGCACTGTTATGTAGGTTTGGAGGGTCCAATTACCTTCTGAGAAGGTACTTGGATCCCTAGGGGATTTTTGATTTGACCTTTGGCGCACGGTGGCGGAGCCACTCCCCGACAAGGGGAATTCGACCAAGAGACCACGGCAAGGAGAGTGGAAGCGCGACCCTAAAGACATGGATGTTTCTCAGCTCAAGCACTTACCACCTGGAAAGCTGAGTCATTATTACCAGCTCCTGCGAGCGATGCATCCCGAAAGCCAGGTGTCGAAGAAGTTGTTTGCCGACGTGTGGCAAAGGGACTTTATGCAGAAATTGAGAATCCGCAGTACAACTCACCATGCCAAATGCAGCCTTTGCATTCGCCACCGCATGATCATAAAGGGCGTTCCGCCCGGGCCAGCTCGCAAAGAGCAATTATTGGAGTATCGGTACCGCGCGGAAAGCCGACTGCAAGCTTCTGGCCCACCCAGTGAAGTCAATTTGGTGTCTTGCATCATAGATTCCTTTGACCAGTCCCAGGCGAAACATTAATTTCCGAAATCTCAATGCTTCCTCAGCAAGCAGTTTGCGAAGTACCACCGTCCGCGCCTTTCTTCTACGACTGTTTTGGCGCATGGCTGGGGAGCTTTGGTGGCTATGTCCCCGCCAACCACGCCTGGCAACTCGAGCCGGACGCTCGAGTCGCTAGGAGCAGTTCTGACCAAGGGAGTTTCTTGGGGCATACACTGGCCACAGGTCCACCTGCACATTCAGGCGGACAATTGCTCAAAAGAGCTCAAGAACCAAAAGTCCTTGAGACATCTTGAGACTATCCGGGTATTTAGTATCCATGTATCGCCTACGGGCATGCAGACTCTCCTTCTTACAGAGCGGCGACAGTCATGTGGAGCGGGCAAAAGAGCTTCCTATAATGGAAGATTTCCGTGCACGCATGGAAACCTTCTTCGAAAACGAAGTGGGGCGGGCATCGAAGACCCAAAAGTGAAGGCGAAGACCTATCTTTGGGAAGGTGAACATATTTACCTACATTTGCTTACCTTTGGTGTTCAAGGCTTACATGGAGTCTTGGAGAAAGACTCACCTGGCGCCCTCGCGAGGTCTGGGACCCTTTTTGAGCTTCTGTTGGGGCTTGGATTGTCCTATGAGCTATCCCCACACCACTCATACTCTCAATGCTGGAAGTCGCCTCGATTTTAAAACTCAACAGATTTAGCTTGGCGGTAATGTCCCAGGAAGTCGCAGCGATTCGCAGTTACTTGGGGGAGAGACACTAGTTTTTGCTTCAGACCTATGATCTGAAAGTGGAAATTCTAGAAATAGCTGCAGGACAACTGTTCAGGTCAACTGTTTTTTAGTGGTTCTGTGGTTCCATTTGTTTTCACTAAAGCCGCAGTTACATGGGGATTCAAATTTATGCCACTCAAAATCTTGTGCGACAGGCAGTTGGGACTTGGTCTCCTAAATTTCCGGGAACAATGTAACAAGCTCCTGACTAAATGTAAGGTAATGGAATGTGAACATACATAAGAGAAAAAGACACAAACAATGTAAACCATGAAGACGGCCACACAAAAAAGGAAAACACTACTGTGGCCACACAGTATATGTATACATATATATATATATATTTAAACATATATATATATATATGTGTATATAGTACCCCCTATAGACCTACCTTGTTCTAATTTTAATGGTAATTGCATGGTTGTTGATACATGTTGGAGGTGTGGATTTGATTCACAATTTTGGACCTGTTTCAAGCAAACCTTTGTAGTCCTTGGAGTTGTTTTTATGATTTCTTTGCTAATGAAGAAAAGTGCAAAGCAAATACATTGTTTGCCAAACTTGCAAAGTACAGGGACTCAAGATCAAGATTCAATCAGAACTTCGTGGATCCCCAGCCTAGGATTCAAGATTCAAGATTCAAATAGAAGCTCTTGGATCCCCAGCCCAAGGTCTAAGATTCAAGATTCAA